GTCCTCATAACACAGGAAGTAGCTGAAAGGTAGAGGAGCAGCGTCAGGGACCGGCTCTGATGTTCAGTAAAAAAATATCCAGACTCACTAGTCGGTTTGGGTCTCTTCCTGCTCGCTGTCCTCTGGGAACCTCTCCACGTTCCAGCGCATGCGTTTCTGCACTCCCGTGTCGACCTGGGACAGATACGGCGTGGGCTTGCAGTAGCGGAAGGTGGTCAGCTTGGTCTGACCCAGCTGAAGCTGACCGACGCAGAAATGAGACGTGCTGGGGGAGGGGGGAGCAGAGGAGGATGGTTTGGTGGCGGCAGAGAAGAAGTCAGAGCAGATTCCAGTTAGAAAAGCTGCATGAGCGTTTACCTGTTGGGGTCGGCTTCATCCAGACTGATGAGGTCATAGCTGGCGTAGGTCAGCAACAGCTGCTCCAGGCGCTCACACAGCTGCTGAGAGAAGTCCAACAGCTGCAGGACACACAGGGGGTGGGGGAGGGGGTTACTCTTTACGTCTTTTAAACCCACTTTCATTCTAAGATGGATCTAAATGCTCCACAACTGCTGCTAAACATCATCAACAAGCTCTTTGATCCTCAATAGAAAACTCTCCTTTTTCAATCATTCATGTTTTTTTATCATCGCCTCTAATTCTTATAAACTATGTGTTGCCTTCATGCATCTGAAATGTTCTAAAAGATCAAGTGTCTTTGCTCTTTATGATGCTGTTTGCCAGAGGTGGATAGATTACTTGGAGCAAAGTTTTACATCCTTTACATTTTGCTAATTTTACTCTTTCTTTAACAAAGGATTTTGTCTTGTTAAAATATTTTCAGTTCAACTTCTTTCAACTTTCAGGTAAACATGAGCTTTTGGATTTTTCTTCTGTTTCGTCAAATTTCAGCAAATCTTCTGCTTTTAATTTGAGTTTCTGCCAAAATCCTGTCAAATGATTCTACTCTACAGAATCTTCTGATGATTCAGCTGTTAACTGCAGTTTGAAGTTACAGATACATTCCAATCACATTTTCAAAAAATCCATAACCAAGTTTTTCCACATTTATTCAGTTTCTTTAGCTAATTCTTTTTCTTTTTATTCAGCAGAAAAATGCAATCCCACTTGCTGTTTGTCTGAAACAGCTTTTTCTAGTAAAGTTATGTGCAAGTTCTTGTATTTTAAAGTAAAGTAAAATACAAATACGTAATACATTACATACATTTTGTGTACAAAATAATTCCTGCAAAAAATTGTTTTCAAAATTAATATTTGTTAGGATAAAATTTATAAAATCAATCCTAAGTGTGATTAATGTATATATTAGTGCAGAGTAACTGACATTATCTACTGTTTCATGAACATTCAGCTAATCTCTGAACACCTCTAGTAACTCAGAGTAACCAGACATTTCACTCTAATAGTAGTGATGCTTCACAAGAATGTTACTCAAGTAAAAGAAAGACAAGCAACTACCCACCTCTGTTTACTGACTGATTTTTCTCCAATAACCCCCCGACTTAATGTATTTATACTGAGATAAGTGAGATCTGTTTAAGACTGAAGCCTTTGGGACACTAGATTTTATTAGGAGTAAAAACACCAGCGAAGCAAAGAAAAAAAAAAAAGTGAAAATGATCTCTAATTTTTATCCTCAACCTTTATTTTTTTTGTTGCATCACATAAAAATGTGTTGAAGTTTGTGGTTTTACCATTAAAAGATGCAAAGAACCATAGATGAATGACTGCTGGATTTCAGGCAGCGTTTACAGAGGAAGATGTTTTGGGATTTTCCAAATGAAGGTGTGTTTTAAAAAGTGAGGTTTGGATTATTTCAGACATTTACCCTTGAACAATAATCAGCTGGCATATGAGCGCACAGCGACGTGTTGCTCCGGCCGATGGACTCCAGGTGGTTGAAATAAGGCTGACAGGTGAAGAGCAGGGAGGAAACGGCAGCAGTGAGGGCCACTCTGTCTAGATGACTCTTCCTGCCAGAAGAAAACAGCCTAATAAACTAGAGAAGCAGTGTGGATGATAGCCTCCACAGTAGAGGAAAGAAATCAGTCCAACATCTCCAGGCTGACACTTGCCCACTAACGAGGCCCTCCTGTAAC